CAGGCATCATGGTAGGTACCTATAGTTCCTGCTACGGCAGAGGTTGAGGCAAGAGAATTGCTTAAGCCCAAGAGTTGGAGTTTGCTGTGAGCTATGATGCCACAGCACTCTACCAAGGGCTACAACATGAGACTCTGTCTCCCTAAAAAATGTTTTAAAAAGAAGAAAAAGAGGTGGAATTTTTTTCACCAGGAGAGAGGGGCTTATACTAAGTTGGCTTTTGTCAAACATAACAATTGCTGTTTTGGTGACCCAGGGTCTTAGCAGGGGCACTGCCTGTCATTAAATAAACACCTGACTGGGTTGAGAAGAGATTGGCTAACAGAGGCTCCTGGTATACTATTCATTGTCAACATTAGTTTCGGACGGTGGCCTGCCTGGGCACCACCTCTACCGTAAAGAGAAGCCCTAAGCCTGATGGCTTATATTATACTTCTGGAGCTTTATAATTTATAAGTGTCTTCATATACGTCATCCTGTTTGATTTGTCATCTTAGCTGTTAGCTTTATGCCGTGTCATTTCCTATAAAGGAAAGTATAGCAGACATATGAGGAGGGACGTGACAAAAGAGACTAATAAGAGTAAGGAATCAAAAGGCATTTTTTAAAAACGCACATTGGATGAAAAGTTGGAAATTTAATCCTGGTAATGGAGAAATCTAGATGATGATATTCTAAACGTCTGGCTCTATACGATATGTCTGCTTTCTATAGTTTTTAATTTGTGCAGCACTCTAAACATAGCACAGAATTATTAATATTTGGAATATTATTGCTGCTTTATATAAAAAGTATCTTTTCTGCCTGAAATATACTATTTAAGGATTCTTGGGAGGCTGAGGCGGGTAGATTATTTAAGCTCAGGAGTTCCAGACCAGCCTGAGCAAGGGTGAGACCCCCTTTCTACAAAAATAGAAAGATTAGCCGGGCATCATAGTAAATGCCTATAGTCCCAGCTCAGGAGACTGAGGTGGGAAGATTGCTTGTGCCCAGGAGTAGGATATTGCTGTGAACTAGGCTGATGCCTCAGCACTCTCGCCTGGGCAACAGAGTAAGACAAAACAAAGCAAAACGTAAATAAAATAAAAAGAGTTCTTGCTGTACTTATAATTTTCTTCTCTCCAAGTAGAAAGAAGGCTCAGATATTTGCCATTAGAACACCTCATTGATTTTATCATGATGGGGAATAATATGAAAATAAGAGTCACTTGAAAATTTCCCTTAAAACACGATTTATTTACAATCCATTCGAGCAGATGTGAGGGATTTTCATACTAGAATGTGAAATGAGGTGCTTGGGTTCTGGAGTGATTGTTCTAGGTATTGAGTCCCTTTGAGTCATAATCAGGAAAGGGTGTGTCTCATGAGAAATGTATCATGAAACATTGAGCTGGGTGCAGCGAGTGTCACCTGTCATCCCAGCATATTGGGAGGCTGTGGCCGGAGGATGGCTTGAGGCCCCTTCACCTCCTCCGCCGACCCCACGTCTACACATTCAGTCAGGCAGCATCCGGCCCTCACGTTCTCCCTGTGCCGTAGTTCAGGCCTGCACTGTCTCTTGCTTGTTCTGTTCAGGAGACTTCTGACCAATTCGCCCGCCTCTGGGCTTGTCCTCCCCACCACCCTGTCTTCCGCATTACCGACAGAAGGACCTTTGTAAATCACAGATCACAGCTGCTCTCAAGCCTTCCAGCTCTACCCACTGCCTCTGGGATCAGCCAAGTGTTCAGGCTGCCTGTTTCCCAGCCTGCTGGTTTAGCCATCTCCCACCAGTCCCTTTTCATACCCACCACATACACCCTAGGCTCTGCACCCTCTGTCAGAAAAATCACCTCCAGGACCCCTCACAACCACCTCCTTTCCCTTTCATATGCTCTTTAATTTTTCCTGCAACACTCTTCCCCTACCCTACCCTACCCTACCCTACTTCCCAGCAGGTCTCTAACCATACTGCAATAGCCAACTCAGTTCTGCACAGCTGTTCCTAAATTCTCTTCCCCTTCCACCCATTTTCTTTGTTGTGATGCCATAGTGCTTCTAGAGCAGGGGTTCTCAACCTGTGGGTCGCAACCCCTTTGTAACAATGAAAAGACGTCACAGCATTAGGAAGGTTGAGAACCACTCTTGTAGGAGGTAGGAGCACCTGGTTTAGAGGAGTTCTCCAGCCTGTGGGTTACCTGGAGACAAGCACCATCACTGTGCATGTCCGTGCTGTCTGTAGATATTAGCACCTGAAAGCTTATGCCTGCATGTTTACTGAGCTGGCTGGGATTCTACAGAAGGCTTGTAAATATATAAGTTGAACCATGTGAAACTGCTGTTCTTAGTATCAGCAATTTTACATGGTCAGCCTAATAGGGCCGTTTTGTGTCAATAATGTTTGTTCTGGGTTTGGCTTTGATAAGTATTCTTACCTTCACTCAGACTGCCTGAGAGCCTGGGGCCCAGAGAAATGTTTTCAGCTCTGGGAGACATTTTCCAGCCTACTCATCCTGCGTATCCACTTTCTAGCCCCAAATAGGATGCAGACCTCAGAAAGGAAAGAAGCATATACTCTGTTTTTTCTCTTGCTGTTGACAATGTGTCCATCATTGTTTTCTGATTCAAAATGGTTTGTCATAAAGATGAGTGTGAGATTTTGAGGCTATTTATCAAGTGGCACCACGGTACTTTCTAGACCTGTCATACATGATCGTTTTAATGAGAAGGAAATGATGAAGTTGTGAATAAGGCAAAAGCAAAGAATTGTTCGTTTACATGTCGTTTTTCAAGGCCAAAATAGATGACGATATCAACTGGAAGGTGTGTGAGTATTTTGTGCAATGATCTTGATTTTATTGCTATGATACAGAACTAGAGTTGTCCTTAAATTAAGAATGCCAACTGTATCACTATTAAAATAATATTCTTAACCAACTGCAAAAAATTATGCTACTCTGCCAGTTCTATAATTGAATGACCTTGCTAGAGACTTTTTAAAAACCAATAACATAGCTAATCACAGTGTCTGTCCTCTTTTGTGCGAAAGTGGATGTTGTTTGGGTTTTAAGTCTCATTTGAGCTGCTGAGGGGAAGAAGCTTGTCACATACCACCACTTGCCACCTTTCTGTCTGAGCAGATGTAAGTAATCTGTGCAAAAAATATTCACTACTGCCTCATTAGGGCATGTCCTAGGGCTTTCCCATAGAGGTGGTTCTGACACCATCAAATCTTTTTTCTAAAGCCTATGGTTTTAGGCATCCATGCCTCTCAGTCTCTCACCAGGAGACAATAAGATCAGCTGGGGTTTTAATTTAAAGGACTGTGCATTTGATTGTGGGTGTGGCCTTCTAGGACAATGGGTGAAGGGAAAAGTGAGAAAGTGAGATCTAAAATTTAAAGAAAATGTCGAAACCGGCTAAACTGGTTTTCACAATCTTTTCTAATTTAACATGTCCAGAGGTATTAAATGTAAGAAGGTGTGGGGGATTATCTGAAAGCTAGGCATTAAAAGATCAGGTGGTTGGAGGATTTTGATTCAGGAGCTTACAAAACTTTTTTTTTTTTTTAAGGAGTTGAGTAACAAACCTTCCAAACTCAGGAAAGTGGTTTTAGGAGAGGATGGTCTCCAACTTGTCTTTATCTTTGCTTCCAAGATGGGTGTTAAACCCAGGTGACTAGCAGACTATTTCTAGTCAGGGACTCCTCCCGGTGGTTATCAGTGGTCATCCCTGTACTTGACTGAATTGCTGCATTTTTTTTCTCAGGGACAGTGAAGGTTAGTGGGTCAGCCAAATGTGTGAAAAAAAAAAAAAAAGGGTACAGAAATTAGTGATACTTAGAAACATATGGCTCGTAATCATCATACAGGCTTATATGCTGAGATGGGTTGAGAACGTTGGCCCACATTATCTGGCCATGCAAGGCTTGTGAAACCAGTAATCAAAACCATTATGGGTCCACTAGCCTTTATGTTGAATAGTTGTTCTTGAAAATACCCCTTTGAGTTAGAGTAAAGGGTTCTAATGAATAAAACTCCATCTAGAAATGATCACATCCAAGTTTCAAAAAAAAAAAAATTCTATTTTGATTTTGATTGCAAGAAACCCCTGTAATGTCAACTAGCTATACTTGTAAACATGCTGTGTTTATTTGTTACCCCCTCCCAATGTTGTGCTCATTTTTGAGTAAGAAAGGGTGCCTTTTTATAAATTGGGCTTGGGCTGAAGTTTCTCTTAACTATCACATGTATTAATTATAGACAAGGGAGTAGACCCTAACACCAAATTGCTACCTTGCTATTGTTAAATCCGTGTTTGGGTTTTCGTCTCTCTGATGCATTTTTCTCCCCTCTTTAATTTGTGTTTTTAAAAATCATTGCTTCTCCGTCTTTTGGCTCAGATCAAGGGTATGTATTTTTTTTAAAACATCAATCTATACATCTAGAAATCGTGTGAAAGACAAATATTAAAGAAAGAAAAGAACATACAGACCACGAGCCTATCCTTTGAAGATGCTTTGCCAGGGCCGGGGGGCCGGGGCAGTAGATGAAATAAAACTGTAACGTGCCATGCAGGGGTTGTGTGAGAAAGCAAGCCTCGTGCTCATGCCAAGATGCACATTCTCCTGAGAAACAACACACATTGTGGCTGACCGACTGGGTCACGTGGTGGGAGGGGGCTCTTTTCTTTCTCCTCCACATCCCCTCCTCTGATGTCACAAATCTATTTTTTCCCAGGAGAATTAATTAGCATTCGTTGGGTGTAGTTAGCTAGAAGAAAGGGGAGAGAGAGAGAGAGAGATTTGGAGAGATCGAGATCTTAAGAAAGAGAGCAAGGAGGAAGAGCCGGTGGGCTGGGGGAGAGCGGGTCCTCCCCCCGGGAGCCGCATTGAGACTAGAGGTGCAATCAGGCACAGAATGGCTGTTTTATAACTGGGATCCTCGGTGACGTATGGCTGTCTGATCCTTGGCAGCTGTCTTTATGGACCAGTAGGCAGAGCGAAATTGACGCTGACAAGACTTTTGCATCTTGGAAGGGACTGTGATCTACTGTAGTGCAGAACAGAGCCTCTCAATCAGGCGGGTGTGAATAGGAGACGGAGGGGAGTCCAAAAGAAAAGGAAGAGGAGGGGAAAAAGTGTGTGTTGGGGGGAGCAGGGGGCAAAGCATTTTTGGTGGATGGTGTGAAGCCAGCCATGGAAACTGCAGCCGAGGAAAATACTGAACAAAGCCACGAGAGAAAAGGTACCCAGCGCTCTGACAATAGCCTGTTTAAAGCTTTTTGCTGGGGTGGGGTGGGGGGGCTGCTTAAAAAGGGTTAGCCCAGTTTTGTCTCTTTTAAAATGTCTCTGAGACAATCCTTATGGCACAGTCTTGTTTTCAGGGTTGTTTTTTCCTGTGGCTGATGTTAAATTAATAGAGCAGCCTGTCTTCGTTCCTGTTCCAAACCTTCCTACCAAACATGATATTTCAGAGAAGGACAGCCGTAGTTTGTTACCTTGGGCAGATGGATTGGGGAAACTATCTTTCCTTATTAATGCAATTAATCCCGATCTAGGTCCTGTGTTCTGCATGTTCTCTAGCACGGGACATGGAATGTGTGTTTCGCTAAGCTGAGGAGGAGCTGGAGGGGCATGGATATTGATTCTGCTTCGGTTCCACTAATGCTATAGTGACTTGGACATTCTCTCATGTTCTTATTCTAATATGATTGCTCTTTCCACGTATCAGGCCCTGGCTACGACTTGTAATAATCATTCACAGTGGCAGCTTCAGAGAGGGGGGACATCAGCTCTGTCACCTGGTGCTGACGGGAAGATGGGGTCTCCTGTTAATTATGACTTGGGGACTGGGGAGGAGAAAAATTGATAAAGGGTCTATTCCTTAAGCCGAATCTTAGGCCATACTGCAACTTTGATTTACAGAATGGCTTTTCGAGGGAATGATTGTTTTTGTAGTCAGAAAAATAGACACGAAAATTAATCTTTTTCCAAATAATGATTGATCTTCAGTTTGATGCCCCGTAGAATCAGCCCGGCCACTATTAGCTGAGTGGTCTCTCACTGCACCGTGATTCATCTCCTTCACTCGGAGCTAAAGGCTGTCATAAATGCACAAAAACACAATTCATAACCGCAGTGGCTCTAATATCAGAAGCCCATACGCTAGGGTTATTTCTCACAGCCTTTACGTCCCCTCATAGTTCCTAAACAATGGCAATTCTCCAGGATGGAGGCATAACTTCGTTTTACTCATAAATATGTAGGTTGAACCATATGAAATTGCTGGTAATCAACCATTTTTAAACCTTCAAAAATGGAAATTATATGTTCTTCAACTTAAGGGTATGCTGGGGTAAAGGGTGCTTGTTTTGATATCACCTTTCATGTGTACACAGTAACATTTTACCCTAAACAGAGAAATTTCATTTTTTAACGAATTTTCTTTCCATATGACAAAATACAATATGATAGGAAATTTGCCATTGTAACCATTTTTAAGTATACAGTGCAGTGGCACTAAGCACATAGCAATTGAATTTTAAGATTGGTAGTTTAGTTTAATCCTCCTATCAAACCTCCCTCCTCCCCTACCGAATACCTACCCGACCTTTTCTTGTATGTGTCTTTTTAAAAAATCTTCATGAATGACCAATGTTGATGGGAGAAGCTCTTGGGAATGTTCGGGCAGCTGAGGAAGTGAGATAAAACTTTCAAGATGCATTGCCATGATGATTAGAGTCTACCCGATTGCATGTTTGGGGGCAGGGATAAAATAATGTAATAGCATTGTCCCCAGGAAGCCTGTCACAGTTTATAGCAAATTTTCCCGAAATTAAATGATTTTGTTCAGTACATACTTTTATTTTTATTAATGTGGTATTTGCCCATGGCAGATGAAACCATTTTGGTCTCTGCAAGACATTTTGGTCTCTGCAAAAACAGACCTTTTGTTTTTTCTCTCCAAAGGCAAGCGAGGGGATACATAACCAACATAAAACTCTTCCTACACAATTGTGTATCTCATCATCATCTGGTCTTATGAATTGCTATTATTTTACATCAATGAAATATTAATTTAATAACAAATCTACAGGTTGCCATTTCATTCCTAACAACCTGAATACAAAAACTCTTTAGCTATGGTTTTAGAGACAAAATTAGAAGCAAAAGATAATTCCTGGGGGAACTTTTAAAATTACCTAAATGTAGGAACATGAGCTGCTTGGTAAATAATTAAAAAATACGAAGCTACCGAAAGCTAGCGTCACACGTACAGGGCTTGCTTGAAGAAGAATGCCAGCCAGGGAATTTATTTTCCTGATATGCAGCAACTGGGGTTGTGATTGTTATGTGACCCACTATAAATGTTGATCTGGAAGGTGGTTTATCTGCTAATCTGCGTTGAGATGAACAAGTTCACATGCCAGCCGCACAAAGTCAAAACTCACATGAGTATCTGCTTGGTAGCTTCCCAGTTTGCTCGCCCGTGGTCATTCAGGTACACGGAGGCATAAGACACGAGCCACAAATGGTTATTCATGTTGTCACTCTAGTATTCCTTTGGAATTGGTTTTAAGTTTATAAAATAAATGTTGATTTCACTGAAATTAATATTTAGAAATTTGACCTCTTATAGAATGTGTTATATAATTCTTGTGCTGGGGGGAATCTTTCTTTTTAAGCCTTCTTTCTTTTAAGCCTTTCAGCAAGGGATTTTATTTACTGCATTTAATTCTTTAAATTTTGTCTGTTTACACAGTTTTTTAGACATATATTTTTTCCCCTCTGTTTTCCTGTTTTCTGTTTTTAATTATCGGTGACGGGCAATGCCTATCTCTTAATTTAGGGTATTATTACCTAATGGCTAGTACCCAGTAGCTTGGAATTAATAGCTGTAGATAATTATTACAGCGTCTATTAAGAATGTAAATTAAACCCAGATTTATAAATTGACCTCGCTTTTCTAGTTGGGGTCTTTTCCTGGGAGTTTCGGCAGGATAACACATCCCAGCTATTGTGATTCACTGACTCCTACAAAGAGAGCTCTTTCTTTAAATCAGAATGACTTTGTTCCTGCTTTAGACGGAAATAATCCACATTCATAAAATAGGAAATCATTTGTGTTTTTTGAAACACTCTTAAAGCTTTTCTTACCGAAATACCAATATCATAGATGACCACATTTTTTGCAGAAAGCAAGCAGGTTTTCTTAGATACAAGAAATGCCAAATTATTACAAACGACAGCTTTTAAATTAAAAGCATTAAATTAAATCAAAGCGTAAGGATCGAGTAAGCAGATTCGGAAATGAAGAAGACAGAATGGAAGGAAATAGATCATGAGACTGAGTTAATAAAAAGATGGAGAACAGGTTTCCATTGATTTCAGTGGAGGATTACTTGATGTTATTTCATTTGTAGAAATAAATGTATCTGGAATTGCTGGGCACACTTAATCACTGGGTAGAAAAATAATTGAATCATAACAGCTTGCTGTGCTGAAAAAAAGGAAGGATCTGTTATGAAAATTATTTTTATTATATGAAGGAAATGGAGATCTGAAACAATCTCAGGCTTATTAAGTTCCTATGAATCACTGCTGAAAAAAATTCCAGCATTCCAGGCATCAAATTAAGTTCCTAACCACATAGGAAGGGAAATATAGTAAATGGGAAACAAGGGGTAATTTAAAATAAATGATAGGCTATCGTTAAAGTAAGAAATGACTTCAGATTATTGACTTTGCTTAAAAAATTAACACAGCCATTTAAATCTTTTTGATCGCATAGATATCATTTCTTTTTTAAAATTTAGTAAAATGTGTGCTGGTTTGGCTCTTCTTTTGTGTTTAGGAAGAAAAGCAGTCTTGTAGAATCCATGACACGTGTGCTAAAAACCCAAAGGGACACATTTAATGGGTTCAACTATTCCTGATGAGCTCCAGATTATTGGATTTTGAGATTTTTGTTGACATTTTCTAATTTGCTTATATGAACATGGTACAGAGGAAGTCTTAGATGCAGCTTTTTTTCTATAAGAATTCGCCAAGGTAGACATCTGAAGAGGTGGTGTCTGGGGAATAGGCTGTAGAGAAAACTGCCCGGCCAGATGGTGCAGGACATATGTGGTAGGTATGATAAGGCTTCTTTGAATTTTTTTTTTTTTTAGAAAATTTAAATGTGGAAAATATCTCAGTGAGCCTCGGTACATCTCCTAGTTTTATGTTATCAGTTCCATTAGGATTTTTTTTTTTTCAAGATTTGGCCTTGCTATTTCATTAGGAAAAAAAAAAAAAAGTCTGGCCCATTTCTGGAAATTTCGAGTTGCCTTCCTTGAAAACTGAGTATAAATCCTGAAGTCAGCTTTTTTAAGCTCACATTTCTCTGCTAAAGTACAGGGTCAATGTGGAGTAAATGATCTCAATGAAACGACTGTCAGTCTTGACGTATCTGAGAACATGCAAAATACCCAGTGTCCCCATGACTTAAGGTTTCCCCTCACTGGGACTGGTGATGAATTGGATTGGTCCAAAAACATCCTCTTGCTTTTTTCTCCTTTGGACCAAATGTACATACAGGTGAGGTGGCTAGCTAGGAATAGGAATGGAGGAAGATGGAGGAAGAACACGACCGCACGGGCTTTTAAGATTGGGAGGTGATAATCCCAGCTTCACAAACAAGCTTTGTTCATTCATTTATTTAATAATATTCTTCTTTGAAAGGTCATCCTTCCTCTCTCCTCTTAGCTCACGTTATAGGAGTACAAGGGTGCTGAGTCATCTTTGGGACCATTGGGAATAGTATAATCTTGATTTTAATCATAATTTTGCCGATCGGTGGCAGATTCAATAGTAGACAACAATACTATAGAAGGGAATTTTGATCCTTAGACAACCCAGTGATAATTCTCTTCAGAGAGAATAAAATAAGAAAAAAAATCCTATTTTATAGACTGATTTTATTAATTACATCAACCTCTTTATACAAGCTTTACTATACTATATTCAAAATCAGGGGTCAATATACTTTTTCCTTAAGAGTCAGATAGTGAATATTTTAGCTTTGCAGGCCACATGGTCTTTGTTGCAACCACTCAGCTTTGCCATGTAGCATGAAGGCAGCCACAGATAGTATGTAAAGAAATAGATGTGACTGTGTTTCAATAAAACTTTATTTTCAAAAAGAGTTGGCCACCATTGCCAGCCTTTACTATATCGTATACTATTGTTATTTTAAATAATGGCTTAAAAGTTAGGATGAAAAATACAGCTCTGAAAGACATTGCCCAGTGAATAGGGTCTCTAGGGAGCTCAGCATTTGTCACTCATTTGCTTCTAGAAATAATTTCCTAGATGCTAAAACGCATACTAGTCTTCAGTTCAGTTGTTCAAACTTGTCACTAAATTACATCATCTAAGAAAATGGGTGAAAAGAAAGGAAAAAAGGCATTGTTTGGTTTCCTTTTTTCGATTTCCCATTATTTATTTCCTACCCACCTTGGGTGATGACTATTCGGTCTTGTCTGTCTCCATAAGCTGCCACCACTCTCTCCATCTGTCTCTACTCTCTGAGGGAGAACACTTTGCAGCCTGCCTCTGTAGGGTGTAAACCATTTTCCCATTTCTTCCCAGGCACCCAGAGTCAACAGGGCATTTTAATATCCCCCAAGAATCCTGTGACTCCCTTCTAGGTCTTGGGACCCTATGCTTGGGATTAAAATGTATATACTGTGCTCTTTGAAATTTTATGAGTGACGTGATATTTAATGCCTTTATGTAAGTTTGGCTCAAAAATAGAAAGTAGAAGTCATTTTCTTTTCTTCCACATCTAAAGATTTACTGTTAAATGTTAGTCCAGGGGCTGGAAAACTATCCATATAGTTCAGATCCCACTTCCACATCTGCTGGATTTAGTCCTACTTTCGTGCAGAATGAAGGGTCTCAGACATGGCTGCCACATTCTTCTCAGAAAACATACTAGAGTTGGGTAGCCCATGGTTTTGCATGGTTGTTGCTTCACAGCCTGCGCCTGCTTGCCCAGATGTCTGGAGACTTCCCCCTGCAGGTGAAGGAAGAGGTGAGCACAGAGCATGGCAAACCTCTGCTGAGAGTCTCGGAATCACGTGGCCTGTCCTGCGTGGGAGTCAGCCTGGTGGGAGGCTTGGAGGTCCATTTCTGGCTCCACAGGGTTCCAGGCTGCTCTCTTGTTTTCAACCAAATATTTATTCAGCAAATATTTATTGGCCACCTACTGTGTTCTGGGCATATAAAGCTAAATTTTTGAAAAGGGAGATGAAAAATTTCCGCTCCAAAGTGACAGAGCTGCTTAGAATCCTCTTGCTTGTCTATATGGCAGGCTCACAGCCACACTACTAAGAGGAAATCAGATCATACCATGAGACAGTTTGACCTCCTTCTGGTTCTTTCTATCAGCCCTACTAGATTTCCTTGTCTTAAAGAAGGTAACACAACCTATGCCTGAGAGAGAATCTTTCCAACTGTAGAGCAGAATCTAAATCCAGGCAAGGCTACGAGTAAAAAACTTTAAGGAACCTGAAATAACATCAGCAGCTTAGGGGCCGAACCATTTCTTTAGGTGACACAGAAGCACAACTCACTTCCAAATGGACCTCAGACAAACACTTGTGGATCTAACCGCTGCTGGCAAAACAGCAGAAAATTGCAGCAAATGCACAGGCCACATGGTGGTTTCAAAAATGTGTCCTCCACAGTCCAATTGTGGAGGTTCACACGTGGGCTCTTCTGCCCCCTGGCTGAGCATCTGGGGCAAGTGCTCATTACCTTCTCATTGCCCTCGGGTGCTTCATTTGTAAAGATTGAATAATAATAGTATCTATTTCATAGGGTGGTCCTGACAGAGGTGTGTGCTGAGCACAGCGACTAGCACATTGTTAGTACTCCATGAATTACAATGATCACCATTGTTATGACAAAAACAGCAGCAAAAATAGTTGCACTGTGCAGTTTCTGGTTTTATCCTGCCATCTTTCCCCCCCTTTAAACAAGACATTTTTACTTTACCTTGAAGTCAAACAAGTTTTTTTCTAGAACACCACCTTGGAAAGTATGTCTCTGCTTCCCAATCTGAAATATCCTGAGAGCTTTCAGAGCTGATAGAGAGTGCAGTTGGGATTTCATAAAGGCCTGTGAGATTGGTCAGGGCATGAGGTGGCCTAAGTGCCACTTCCTTCTCCTAGGTGGTCTGAGCTGCCAGATGGTCATTGGAACCTGATTTTCCGATGGAATAATTACCCACATCAGTGCTGGAATCATTTTTTCATCTTTAAATATCAGTGATATCCCAGAGGATATAACCTCTTATTAGGTTTTATGGAATTCTCACGCATAAACTGGCCATAGCTACCTTATGGTCTCTTTGGGATTTCAAGATTCTAATTCACAATCAATGTAAAAAAGATTTGAATTCAAATCTTTGAATTCAATCTTGAATTTCAAATCAAAAAAAGATTTGAATTCAACTAACAGTTACCTGAAGCTTACTCTGTGCCAGGCAAATTGGTAGGGATTTTTCTCTCTAGTCCCTAAGAAGTGAGAAACATTGTATAGTCGTATTATCAGATGGAGACCTGAGCCCTTTGGGAGGGCCGGGTGTCATACTGCATGTTAATAAGCAGTGGTTCGAGTCCCCCAAGACCAAGAGCCCTTTCTCAATAACACACAGAGAGATAAGTGGAACAGAATTTAATCCAGAACATTCTAGACTCTGACATACTGAGTGTAAGATGAGGTGACAGAGAATGCTGCAGATGCCAGTGGGAGGACAGGCATTTTGTCCAAGACTCCGCAGATCACAGGATTATTTGCCCAATTTTCAGGACCAGAACCACGGGGTGCCATGTCGGAGAGTGAGCCTGTGTTCACCTTTGCTTGTGCAGCTGGCAGTAATTATAGTGCTCTGTCTGTCCGAAAAGGAAATGAATAGAAAGAAAAATATTATCGTGAGATGCCAAATTTTCACTATAAATAGTATCTTCCCCAATGAGCATTTTAACTGGAGGGGCATGGAGGGGAGATAGAGAAAATAAAAGATAGTCTGGGGGATTTATGTTAACTTAAATTCAAAAAGGGAGGAGGAGACTTCAACGTTCTCAATTTATTGTGTCACATTGATAAGCTGGTACTGAAGGGTTGAATTTCAGTAGCATATATTTTAAATTTCCCCATTTCTTTTATATGGTAAAAGAGTAAATAAAATGCTGATAAGAATCTTTGCTGGAGATAGAGACACTGACTCTTTGCCACCTGAAATTGGCAGTGAACAGCAGAGCTGAAATGGAAATTGGCAGGTACCACTGGATGTACCCAGGCTCAAAGAACCACCAGTACCATCCCGTGCCAACCCTGGGGGACAGGGCTAGCCCCTTGAGCGGTCCAGGTAAATACAGCCTCGGGGTGAATTCTAATAGCAAGTCAACTGTTATCTGTGCTATTACTTGTAATGGCTTTTTCAGTTTGGTGGTATTTTATGTTTTGCTTGATCCATTAATTTGTTCACACGGGCATGGGTGGAACTGGCTCCTTACAAATTTCTAATCATCTTTCTTTTTCTCTCCCCTTCCCCATCCCACCCCATCCTTGTCTGCTTTCTTCTCCCTCTTTCCTCACTCTCACCTCTTCTCAAAGGGAGCAGCGTACAGTCAGATATGCCTTTGGGTTAACCAGGAAATTTCCAGTGTCTGAACCAATAATGGTGGAGGGGCCAGACATGTCCCCCAGGGGGCCAAGAACTGGGCCAGGGCCCTCTAGGAGCCTTGGCTCTGAGAGTACCGTGAGCATCCCCAAATGTCTTCCTGGCAGCACCCTGTCCTAACATCAGTCATTGCCTTTGAGAAAGAAAAGTCAAAGCTTGTGAATCAGGATGGCATAACTGTGTACCCAACTCCCCTCAGATAGGTCCATTGGATCGGCTCTCCATTATCCTTGCAGGTGAGGAACATCGGCCACTCAGAGCTGCTAGGTGCTAGGTCTGGATGAGATGTGGGGACCCAGGAAGGGGAGAATGCTGAGCAATGTGAACACCTATCCTCACATATCCCTGACGTCTACACATGCCTTAATGCTCAGCTCAGTTAGCTCAAATTCTGTGACTCTGCCAAGATGGAGCTGTAATTCAAACTATGTAAGATGTGAACACAAAGGGCTTCAAATACTGCTGCGATCTGGCATCACCCCGTAACATCATTTCTCCCAAATGCTTGCTTACTTTTGCAGGAGTACATGTAGCATGTACACCTCCAGAAAGAGCAATCCCGAGTTACAGTGTAAGATCCCCATTCGATTACACAGTCATAGAATCTAGCATTAAATTAAGACAACTTTTTCTTTTTCCTTTAAAATCTAAATTGTATTCTCAGCTTGCTGAAGGCAAAGTTTGGCTTAGGATTTAGTTCTACATCTGGGTTGTGCCTGCCTTCATCGGACACAGAGCTGTCCGGTAGAAAAGAGTGAGCACCAGGGGACATCAGGCATCCGTTCTCAGAGCTCCTGTAAAGACTAGGGGGGGATCCTGACAAAAAACTCCCCTTAGAGGAGATCGACCCATACAGTGGAACACCAGTCAGCCATGGGAAGGAGTGAGGCACTGATGTGTGCTACAACAGGCAAACCTCAAAAACTGATGTGAAGTAAGAAAGCCAGACACAAGAGCCCAAATGTTTTATGATTTCTTTTATATTGAATTTCCAGAACTGGCAAATCCATAGAGACAAAAGTAGACTTTTGGTTGCCAGAGGCTGGTGGGAAGGGGAAAGAGGAGTGAGTACTGATGGAGCTTTTATGGGGTGAGGAAGATATTCTAAAATTAGACTGTGGTGATAGTTACACACTCCACAGATTGACTCAAAAACCATTGAATTGTACACTTAAAACAGGTGAATTTTATGTTTATCTAAATTATATCTCAAAAGCTTTTTTAAAATCTCCCTAACAAAAGCCATTCGATGTACATAATTCAAGATAAGAAAGCTCCCAAGTTATCATAAAGTGCTACTTGAAGGAGGCCAGTCTTCATTCTAAGAATAAGTATTAGATGGCACCAGGCCAGTTGGAAATCCAGGAAAAATGTAATTTCCCTGGATTTTAGTTTATTATAAACTGTGTGGTAAGGAGTAAACACTCTTATTAGGGAGAAAAACAACCTCTATCACTTGCTCTTGAAGAACATTCTCTACTTTTTGGGCAGTTCCCCATAAAAGCATTGCAATAAGACTCATATGCTTGATTCTACAGCCAAACACCACAGTGTGGGTATTCTAAGAAGTGGCAGCTGAGGGGAAAAAAAACAAGGCTCTGACTTCTTTTCTGAAACAGTTTCTTCCAGTATTCCAAAGACATTGGGTTTTCAAAAGGGAGTAAGTGCACACACCATATAGTGCACCAACCACCAGCAAGGTCTGGACGCCTCTGCAAACCTAACCCAGTCATCTCTTTGGCGAGCCCATGTCAGATATATGAAGGCTACAAACAGCCCCTTGTCCATCTGGCTGGGTCTTGGCAGCCGGGAAGGTGAGATCACAATAGATTTCACTGCCAGATGAGTTAGGGGAAAAAAAAACCCTTGGTTTTCAACTTTTTGGAATTCTAGAAGGGTTTGATGAAAGACTGTGGGACACTAACAGCGTCAGGTTGCTGGGGATACTGCAAGTGTGAATTCCAGAAACAGGTTCTTGCCTGAGGGGGAGAAAAAACAAAATCACTGAATTTGATTTAAAGAATTATCTTTAAGCCAGGCATGATGGCTCATGCCTATAATCCTAGCAGTCTGGGAGGCTGAGGCAGGTGAATCACCTGAGCTCAGGAGTTGCAGACCAGCTTAAGCAAAAGTGAGATCCCATCTCTACTAAAACTAAAAAAACTAGCCGGTGTCATGGCGGGTGCCTGTAATCCCAGCTACTCAGGAGGCTGAGGCAGGAGGATTGCTTGAACCCGAGAGTTTGAGGTTGCCGTGAACTAGGCTGAGGACATGGCAATCTGGCCTGGGGTGACAGAGGGAGACTCTGTCTCAGAAAGAAAAAAAAAAAAAGAATTATCTTTAAACTCCAATCCCGAAATGCTTCTAACCACACATATAGTTTTAACTTTTTGCATGCATTAACTGAAAGCATCAGAAGAAAGATCCTACTGCGGCCCAAAACTCAGGGACCATTTGTTCCTCAAGCGGGTTATAGAGTAAAGGGACCTAATTCAGCCATGTCATCACCTTCTTAGTTGCTTAGCAATTGTGTTGGCTCCTAAATCAATGCAGTTGCCATTCCGTACTTAGATCCCCAACCAGATGGTGTGAGGGAAAAATAGAGAATTCCATATGGCTCTCATGTCTTTTTTTTCCCCAGAGTTCTCAGCTTCTTTCCATGGGGTGAGGGCGGGGAAGAGGTTTTGATACAGGCTGACCAAGAAACCTTTGCCAAAGAGAACTGCCTCTCCGTCTTCCACCTGTGCAGTGAGTGTAGCGGAGAGGCTACCTTCTTCCCCTTTGGAAAGGTTGAGGTGGTACCTGTGTCCTTCACCTTGACCTTTATGTAATTTTTTTCCCCCTATTCTTTTTTTTTTTTTTTTTGCTTTGTTTGACTTGTATGTGAATTCTTTCAGCATACTTCTTTTTCCATTTCATTTTTTAGCTTGTTTGGGGAGGTAGTGTGAGCACCTTCTCCAGACCTACAGGACACGGAAGGATAGATAACCATAATGGCACCCTGGGGGCCTAGACCTGAGATGAAAGTCTAAGATGTGGCAAGCAGTGAAACCAGGAATGGTTAATGCTGACTTCCCATCTGATGGAATATTGTGCTTGATAGGTAGAGAATACTTCCTCTGAGCGAGAAGGGAGAAGATAGGAAGGGATTGAAGAAGGGAATTTATCCTCAAGATATATCTTTGGATAGTTACCATTCAATAAAAAAAATATATATATATCTTTGGAATAGCCAGAGAATTGCTTAGGGTAGTCATTCCTTTTTCTTTCCTTCTCTGATTCTAGAAAGGCATGTATAAGCATTGCCAGAGGGGTCAATAATGTGCTGAGTCCTAGTTGGTTTGAAGGGCAATCACTTTTGATGCTCTTACTTCCTTGTCTGATGCAAGGGATTGGGGAAGGGCAGTGAAGGTGGGAAAGGTTTGTTTCTTCCTGGCAAAGAGAGGGCCAGAGAACAAAGCAATTGATAGGAACTTGGGAGAAATGCTCAAATGTGTCTCCTCTCCCTCTTTAATTCAGTGACATGTAAAATGCTGTTAACTTAATAAAAGCCACACACCAAGGGACCAAGAATGACCATTCATACGCTGATAAATCCGTAACTCAGAATTCAGTCTCTCAAGGAAGGAGTGCAATAACCACCTACTTCACCAGTCGCTGATTTCCCTCCTCTAAAATCCAAATTGCTTTGACGCTGAGGTTGAGATGGTTATAGAGAATTCCAGAAGTGTAAAGAACACCCCTCTCAGTGTGGAATATGACGGTGGGTGTGGTGAGAGGAGAGCATGGGGTAATGTTGGTGTTTTGCAGGAAGCCCGGGTGTGATTTGCTTTTCTAAGAATGGGTTCCTGAGCGCTGCGGAGGATGGAGGACTGAGAGGAGAGGACAAGCAGGGCCGTGACTTAGGTTGTGCTGCTCTGGTCTGCGTGCGCCCAGGTGCAATGTCAGGAAGGCCCTAGGAACTGCAGCCTTTGTCCCCTGGGCCTTACTAGATCCACTTGTGCACTGGATCCACCTTGTAAAGGGACAAGTCCTGGGAAATGCTACTAGATTTTTGTCATTGTTCTGCAGTGTCATTCTTCCCTAACCTAACATTATAAAGCCACTAAGTTTGAGGTCTCCAAAACACTTGAAATATATTGAGGGTGAAAAGAATCCTTAATCTTTCTGTGTGCACTCTCTCTGGTTGGGTATCAAGCATAACCCATAGTCTGCTCATGTGCCCTGTCTGATGGTGGCGCCGCTCCGTTCCCTCTGGTGGCTTCCCGTTACTCAGGGTGTTTCACTTTATGTGCTGGACACATGTACAGCTTTATCGCTCTGGTTCATGCTGTAAAGTTCCTGAGGTTTTTAGAGTCCTTTGCATTTTGTTTTCTGCTATATACCCATTATTTCATTTTCAAATCACCTGTAGTTTTCCCAAAATTATGCCATATAGAGCAGTTAACTATTTTATAGTTTATTTCCAAAGACTACTATGTCAAGTGTGACATACTTCCCATATGTCAAGTATTTGTTTACAAACGTTCGATTTTTAAACATCTGGTATATTGTGAGTGTCTGATTTGCGTTTGATTACATAACAACGGCTCACTGTGTCTGTGATATATCAGCCCCCTTTGTCTTCGGTCTTACGTCTGTCAGCTTAGAGTGGGCAAAGAAAGCAGAGATGAAAAGCAGATTGA